ACCTGCTGTCATTGCCTAAGTGTCATGCCAGCTCTCCTGGGACTTACCTGTGTACTGCAGACTCTTTCTCTTTCCTCTTTCTTCTTTTCTTTCTTTTAAAATAACATTTTAAAAAAATTGCAGAAAATGGCATTGAGCTTAGATTTGTCCAAGCATGGGGAAAGAGATAAGTAATTGAGAGGTAATGGTAGGGGGCCCGCCTTGTGCACAGTGTGTTAAGCTTCCACCTGCAGTACTCATCCCATGTGGGTGCCAATTCAAGTCCCGGCTGCTCCACTTCTGATCCAGCTCCCTGCTAATGAGCCTGGGAAAGTAGAGAAGAATGGCCCATCGTAGGGCCCCTGCACTTATATAGGAGAACCAGAGGAAGCTCCTGGCTCCTGGCTTTGGCCTGGCCCTGTCCTGGCTCTTGTGGTCATTTGGGGACTGAATCAGTGAATGGAAGATCTCTCGATCTCTCTCTCTCTCTCTCTCTCTCTCGCCCTCTCTCTCTAACTCTGCCTTTCAAATAAATAAATAAATCTTTAAAAAAGTGTATAAGAGTGGTTGTCCATTTAGTAAAATGCCATGATCATAAATCTAAAGACCTCATCTGATCTTATTCTAACCAAAAAGTTGTTTTATGTTCTTGCAAAAGGGAAAACTTCATGTCCTAAGCAGTTGGGTGTAAGGTACTTTGGTGTCAAGAGATTAAAATTAGGAGGACTAATTCCCAGAGTTTTGCAATAATACAAGTGAAAGAAGTCGGGATACCTGTGCTTTCTTGTTTGTTTGAAGCCATTTTACATCATTTTTGTCTTTGACATTTAATATGCTGTAATGACAGGCCATATCGTCTAAACTTCCATCCCTCTTATCTAAAACCCATTAAATTATTAAAATCTAGAGGCCTCTGCAGTAAGTAAAATGTGCATATACAATAATACCCACTTACACTAAGCTTTCTTAAAACAAGGTTAATTTTTACTTGGGTAAAAGGCAAAAAAAAATCTTGTGAACATAAGTATCATAAAAGTATCCACTTCATTACAGTATCCACTTCATAATTCTCATGTAAGTAAATATTACATTATAAGATGAGACAAAACGTGCTTCCCTGCCTCCTTTATCAGTTTGGATTATAAGTTTTTGGTTGTAGGGATTATGTTTTACATGTATTTGTATCCACTTTAGCACACAGCTCAATGCCTTACCCAGAAAGGGTACTCAGTGCATTGTTGATTTTAGCTTTGTAAAACAATTATTTTCAGAGAGAAAGTTCAAAGGAGTGACGCCTTGCAGAACCAGAAAAAGTATAGTATAGTATATATATGACTCAAACATTAAAATGTAAATGCCAATAAATACACTTCTGTTCTAAGCAGTGGGGTTTTTAATTGCCAATTGAAATAATTGCCAACATTTAGTGAAAACTCAGTATGTCCATCAACTGTGTTAAGTGCTTCACTATGTACAGTATTATCTAACTAACCTAATCCTCCTGACAATGCTTTAAGTAGCTCTCATCACCATTCTTAATTTACAGATAAGGAAACAGATTTATGAGAGTTAATTGGGAAATAATCCATTAGTTATATATTACCAATGCTTTCTTACTTAGTATCGTAAAACCTACCAGTTTGTTTTAACCATAAGCTTTATTTTCTTTCCTAAGAACTTAAAGTGTCTTAAAATAGTATTTTCTATCTAAATAGAAGGTCAAGAACTAAAAATTCAGTTGCCTATTAAACACAATGTCATCACTTAATGCTTTAATCAATTAGGTGTGTGTGTGCTTGTATATATCTTTTTTTGTTGTTGTTGTTTTGTTTTTGTTTGTTTGTTTGTTTGTTTTTTGACAGGCAGAGTGGACAGTGAGAGAGAGAGACAGAGAGAAAGGTCTTCCTTTTGCCATTGGTTCACCCTCCAATGGCCGCCACGGCCGGCACGCTGCAGCTGGCGCACTGCGCTGATCCGAAGGCAGGAGCCAGGTGCTTCTCCTGGTCTCCCATGGGGTGCAGGGCCCAAGGACTTGGGCCATCCTCCACTGCACTCCCGGGCCATAGCATAGAGCTGGCCTGGAAGAGGGGCAACCGGGACAGAATCCGGTGCCCCAACCGGGACTAGAACCCAGTGTGCCGGCACCACAAGGTGGAGGATTAGCCTAGTGAGCCGCGGCGCTGGCCTGTGCTTGTATATATCTTAAAATTTTTTCCTGGATTTACAAAAGCATTATAAGTTTTAAACAAATGAACATGCTTTTTTTTTTATGTAGGTTATGGTATGTTATAAAAACCTGAAGTAATTGCTTAATTATACCTTCAATATATTTATCAACCAAACAACATTTATATCATAGATAGGGATATCAAGACAATGATTCTCTTCATATCGAAGTAATGATATGTTTTAACTCAGATAATCTGGTTTAAATTTGTTCCTACACTATTTTTGTGGCCACGTTTGCTTTTATAGAGATTTGGTATCTTTCTAATTGTTTCCCTGTGCACCTAAGATTTCTTAGAAAGATTTATTGTAGAGTCAATGAACCTACTCACCTACCTCTGAGTAGGGTAGTAAGTTCAAGGGCACATAATTTAAAAACCTCATGGGGCCAGCACTATGGTGCAGTGGGTAAAGCCACTGCCTGCAGTGTCAGCACCCCATATGGGCACTGGTTCGAGTCCTGGCTGCTCCACGTCTGATACAGCTCTCTGCTATGGCCTGGGAAAGCAGTAGAAGATGGTCCAAGTCCTTGGGCCCCTGCACCCACATGGGAGACCCAGAAGAAGCTCCCAGCTCCTGGCTTCGGATCGGCACAGCTCCAGCCTTTGCAGCCATCTGGGGAGTGAACCATCAGATGGAAGACCTCTCTTTCTGCCTCTCCTTCTCTCTGTGTGTAACTCTGATTTTCAAATAAACAAATAAAACTTTTTTAAAAAATTAGAATTACTAAATCTCAAAAAAAAAACTCATATCCTCCCAAATTGTGCTCTAATCATAACAATGTGTGGGTATAGTAAGGAATGAGATAAGGAGAAGAAAATTCAAAACTCTGTGAAAACTAATAGAATCAATAACAGTCTTCAAGAAAATACTACACAGTTAAGACTATGAAATAACTAGAGGAAAAGTGCTTGAAGTTCCTAACACATAGAAATGATAATATTTGAAGAGATGGAAATGTTAATTACTCTAACTTAATCATCACATATTGTATACATGTGCCAAATCATGACAATGTACCTCATTTTTTTTAAAGATTTATTTATTCATTTGAAAGTCAGAGTGATAAAGAAAGAGAGAGAAAAGAAGACAGATATCTTCCATCCACTGGTTCCCCAAATGGCCACAGCAGCCAGGGCTGGGCCAGTCCAAAGCCAGGAGCCAGGAGCTCCATCTGTTCTGTCACCTGAGTGGCAGGGACCCAAGCACTTGAGATTTTATTCACTGCCTCGCAGGAGCATTAACAGGAAGCCAGGCTGGAAGTATAGAACAGCTGGAAATCCAAACAGATACTCCTATATGGGATAGAGGTATGCCAAGTACCAGCTTAACCCACTGTGCCACAACACTGACCCCACGTACGTCAGTAAGAAGCACAAATATTCTATGTCAAAAAAAAGAATTTAAAGGGTGGGAGATTGGTGCAGCTGTTAAGACGTGGCTTGGGAATGCCTTCAACTAATATCAGAATACCTGGATTTAAGTCTCAACTCTGCTTGAAGTTCCGGCTTCCTAATAATTTGTGCCCTGGTAGGCAGAGGATAATGGTTCAAGTATTCAAGTCCCTGCCACCCATGAGGGAGACCTGGATTGAGTTCCTAGCTGCTGATTTCAGTCTAATCTAACACAAGTTGTTGCAGACATTTGAGGAATGAAACGACAGATGGAAGATCTCTCTCTCCCTCTAAAATAGAAAAAACATAAATAATACAAAACATTGAAAGATATGCTAAATCTTTAAATAAACAAAATCAAACTACAGAATATATAAGTAGAGGGTGTTACCTTAAGAAAACATGAAGTGGAGGTTGCTAAATTATATAGGCAACAGACAACTGTACAAAGATCTGAGAGAATCACTCTGAACAAGCACTTCCAAGACTGAGCACAGCCAAGCGAGCACGAGGAAATACTGGTGTGAAAATATGAACCTGGGCTCCTCAAGGGGTAACTGTTTTCAAAGATGCTACTTTTCGTTCAGTTGCTATTCCTGGGGAGCCCCACAGGGGAATATGGTTGGACCATGGAGACTTCACCACTAAAAAGACACCATTCATCTATTTAACTCCCTCTGTGAGCTTGTGTTGCTAATTCTGAAACACACACTGTGTTCATGCAAACTAAACCTGAAGAGATTATCTTTGTCCCCTGCCTCCTCTAGATCAGAAAATAAATATCCAGTATGATCATTACTTATTAAATTTTAATTATTTTTAGATATTTAATGAAAGGATAAACCTCATTATATAAAGTCTTAATTCATTGCAGCCACAAGTACATTTTAAGATTAGGTTTGGGAGAAAATGGATAGCCATTAGATTTTCTTATCTTCTTAGGGTTAGGTATTGAGATTAGGGAATTTTTTTATATTTGCAAAATACTTAGAAATGCAGATAATCACCATTTAAACCCATAACTTCAGGTTTATTCAAGTAAATTTCAAACACTAATTAAAGTGGGTTTGGAGAAAAAGATTTTAACATTTCATTAGTCCTGTTAGGTGCTGCAAAAGCTAACAATTTTTAATCTACCTGAATTAAAATTTTACCTGAAGTCAAGAAAAATTGTCATATACTTATTTTTAACTTTTTAATGTGCTCTCACACCTATTATTTTAGCAGAAGTAACTAGTCTCTGGAGAGACTGAAATACAAAACAGATCTGATTCTGCTACCATTTCCCTTATAATTAGTCCCTGGACCTCAGTGTAGAAATTATTTTTTCAAGGCAAATGATTTTTATGGCAACATTTTATTTAAATAACTGAATTTTCAGCTAGCTTTTCTCACCTAATTTTTCTCCCCTGAGGTTACTTTGGAGGTCCAAATGTTACCTTTTGGAGCTTGGTGTCTAACTTTGTTGACCCTTTTAAGTTGTTTGTTTTCCAATGCCAGACAAGTACCGCTCTCCTCCAGACTTTAATCTCTCCTTCTCCGGAAATCCACTGCTCTGCTCCATTAAGCCTCCCTGTAATATGCAGAATTAAGTCACACACCTCATTTATTGTTGTGGTTGTGGGTTGCTTTTTTTCTTTCTTTAATGCAGCACTGGAAATGACTTTGAAAGGAATGTCCTGAAGTTTTTATCATTTGATTTATTTTCTTTTTTATTTCTAGATAATTGTGGACTCCAGTTGCTTAAGCTAAAAAAGAAGAAATCATTATAAGTGTCCTGGTAGGAGGAAGGGGCAGGGCCACGAAGGCTCCCTCCCTAGTGGGAGGAGTTTGTCCGGTGAAGAAGCAGTGACCTTCTTCCATATTGTTTCTAAGATAGAACAGAACCAGACAGACTACATTCTACAGAAACATATGGGATGCCGGTGCCACAGGTAGGGGATTAACCTACTTCGCCATGGCACCAGCCCCAGAAACAGATTTCTACTCAACGTCTTTTACAGGCAGTGGCTTCCACTCTCCTCAAAGTAATTTACTTGAGGGATTTCTAAAATGAACCAGATATTTAGCAACCATATTTATAAATCTGTATGCATATCACATCTTCACTGAACAAGAACAAAGGCAGTGAGGATGATCCACCGGGGTTCACGTCCCAGGTCTGCTGGAGGCAAAGCTGTATGATGTTGGCTGGTTTTTTTTCTCTTTGCCTTGCTTCCTCATTTATTACAAGAAGGTAAAAGTAGTGTCACAGAGTTTTTAAGAATCATATTAGTTGGGCAGCACCGTGGCGTAGTAGGTTAATCCTCCGCCTGCGGCACCAGCATTCCATATGGGTGCCAATTCTAGTCCCAGCTGCTCCTCTTCCAATCCAGCTCTCTGCTGTGGCCTGAGAAAGCAGTAGGAGATGGCCCAAGTCCTTGGGTCCCTGCATCCGCATGGGAGACCAGGAAGAAGCACCTGGCTCCTGGCTTTGGATCGGCATAGCTCTGGCCCTTATGGCCATTTGGGGAGTGAACCCACAGAAGGAAGACCTTTCTCTCTCTGTCTCTCCCTCTCACTGTCTGTAACTCAACCTCTCAAATAAATAAAATCTTTTAAAAAATCATATTAGTTGATGTGGTCAGTTGTAAATATTAAGCTATTTTGTATGGATTTCTTCTGTACTTTTAAAAATTCTTTGGAAATGAAGAATAAAATTTAGGGTAAAATATACTTCTTTTTTGTTTGTTTGTTTTTGACAGGCAGAGTGGACAGTGAGAGAGAGAGACAGAGAGAAAGGTCTTCCTTTTGCCATTGGTTCACCCTCCAATGGCTGCTGCGGCCGGCGCACTGAGCTGATCCAAAGCCGGGAGCCAGGTGCTTCTCCTGGTCTCCCATGGGGTGCAGGGCCCAAGGACTTGGGCCATCCTCCACTGCACTCCCTGGCCATAGCAGAGAGCTGGCCTGGAAGAGGGGCAACCAGGACAGAATCCGGCGCCCCAACCGGGACTAAAACCCAGGGTGCCGGCGCTGCAAGGCGGAGGATTAGCCTAGTGAGCTGCGGCGCCGGCCAGGGTAAAATATACTTCTGAACAGTCTTTCCTTCAGTTGTCCATACGTACAGAATACATTCTCATGATAACACACAGACCCATAAGGATGGGGACCATTGATTTGTTCACTGTTGATTACCAAGCATTAGGAATCGCTAGCCTATAGTAGGTACTTAATAATATGTATTGAACAAATGAATGAAAATATTCAAATGCATCACATTTGAATAACAAATAGATATATTTAAAAAGCTTATATCATGATAAATTTATGCAATCTGAAATAAAGGCCTTGTTTATCATAACTAAAACTGTCCAAAAAGAGTCTTCAACGTTAGGAAACATGTCTAATTTCTCTTTGCTTTGCTTTTTTAACAAACTATACTGGAGGAGCAGACATTCAACTTATTGGTAAGAAACACTGTGAGACATCTGTAACCCATATTCGAGTGCCTGGGTTCTAGCATCAGCTCCACCCCTTGTTCCAGCTTATTGTTAGTGCCTATCTTGGGAGGCAACAAGTGATAGCTCAAGTGGTCTGGTCCTTGCTGTCCATGAGAGACACCTGGATTGAGTTCTGGGCTCCTAGTTTCAGCCTGGCCCAGACCTACCTGTTGCAAGCATTTTGAGGGTGACCCAGCAGATAGGAGATCGATCTCTCCCTCTCGCTCTCGCGCTCACTCTCCCTCTCTCTCCTTCTGAAATAAAAAAAAATAAACACTAAACTGGAAATGCTCCCTTAAAAGGCATTTGTGACATTTTCCTTTCCTTAACATTTTAAACATTAAGTTGAGCCTTTTGGTAAAGAGTATAAACATTCTGGAACACAGACCAGGAGCAGAGTTGTAAGAATGTTCAAAAATTATTTAAATTGTAGCAGAGAGACTGGTATTCAGTCTGAACTCTAGGAACCATGTGCTGACTATCAAACGGCCAAGAAGTAACTTTTTTAAAAAAAGATTTAGTTATTATTTGGAAGGCAGAGTTACAGAGAGGCAGAGAGAGGTCTGCAATTCACTGGTTCACTCCCCAGACGGGAGTGAGCCGATCCGAAGCCAGGAGCCAGAAGCTTCTTCTGGGTCTCCCATTTTACCCACTGCACCACAGTGCCGGCTCCCAAGAAGTAACTTTTTACGTGTAATGATGGCTTAATAGATCTTGTCATGGGCTAAGATGTGTGATTTTCTTTTATGTATCCATGATTGAGTCTGTTCCAACTGGATTATTACTGCTCCCCCGACCTGTCCATCACATGCCTTGATGGATCTCAGCTTCACCCCACTGTAATGGCAAAGTAATTACTCATTTTCAAATAAAAAACAAATAGTTCAACATATGAAAGTTCAAATGTATAAACTTTTTGGAGTTTCTCCTATGAAATCATGTATACTATCACAAAATTAGCATTGCATGGTTGTACAAATGACAATGTGAATGTCATTAATACTCAAATATGTGTCCCAGAGCAAAGGTCAAGATAGGAAATGGGAAATCTTCAAAAATACCAGGAAAATATCAGGAAATCATTTTTTAAAAATGTTTCAAATGCTTGGGCTAAATCCTGTGAGTTTCACTATTCAGGCTTTATGATACAATAGTCCAAAGAAAAAGCTTTCGGATAAAAAAGACTTGGGTTTACTTTCCATTACTGTGACTTAAACCAAATATTTATACTCTCTGGGTTTCATGCTATTCAGCTGTAAAGTGAGGATTTTGCTCTCACAGTTAATGTATATAAGAAAATTGTCACATAAAAATGTTTAAAACTGTTTACTGTTAATAACAATAGTAACTATCCATGATATTCATCAGTTTATTAAAAAGTATTTACTGAGGACCAATATGCAGGTACTGTGTTCCCTCTTGGTGAGACTGAAGGAAATAAAATGCTAAATACCTGGTTCAGGGTCAGCGCTGTGATGTATCAGGTGAAGCCGCCGCTTATAGGGCTGGCATCCCATGTAGGCGCCGGTTCAAGTTCCAGCTGCTCCTCTTCAATCCAGCTCCTGCTAATGCACCTGGAAAAGCAGTGGAAGATGGCCCAAGCACTTGAGGCCCTGCATCCACGTGGGAGACTCAGAAGCATCTTCTGGCTTCTGCCTTCAGACCAGCTGTTGTGACCATCTGTGGAGTGAGCCAGTGGATAGAAGATCTCTGTCTCTCCCTCTCTCTCTCTGTAACTCTGCCTTTCAAATAAATAAATAAATCTTAAAAAAAAATTACCAGTTCAATCAGTATGCTTGGTTGTGTGCTATGGGTTAAATGAGAGCACAAAGCTTCAATTCTACTTGAGGAGGTTGTATTATGGTGTAATACAAAACCTCCCTGCACACAAAACACAACTAGAAGCAACAAGGTCTAGGGTTCCCCCAGCACAGCGGGGTTGCTGTCGTTCACAACAAAGTGTTCTATACTATACAAAGATATGGAAGAGGGGGGCTGGTGGGCTCCAAACAGAAAGAAAAGGCAATGGAAAGGCTAGTTGTCTGGTTTGATCAGCTTATGCTGTGTATACATATTGAACTATAGCATGGTACGCCATAAAAACGTACAAGTATTACATGTTAATCAAAAATATTTTTCAGCAGAACATAATCATAATAGTCAGTGTCCCAACAAGACAGAGATGGCACACTCGAAGGCGTAAATGACAGGAGTTTACTGGAAGGACTGTTTACAGAGATGTGGGCAGGGTTCAGGGAACTCAGAGGGATGGCAGAGCCCCCAGGGACAAACAAGAATGGGAAGAAGTTCACACCCTGAGGCCAGCAGGGCTGAGAGGGTTTGTTTCCAATGTCAAGTGAGAGCTGCAGCCATGGAAGCTGTGGCCTTGGCTGGAGGAACAAAGCCACTGCCAGACCACAGTTCGACAGGGACAAATGCATAGGCAAGGGGGAGGAATAAACACTCAGACCTCTCTCTCCTCCTGCCCTCCTATCATCTGCTGGTGCCTCCTTGGCCAACCTCAACTGCAAGCAGAACTCCAGGAGCATGGTAATGAAGACCACGCATCAGCTCACAGGGGACACAGCAGGGTGGGAAAGGCAGTCACAGATGAAGAACAAATGCCCCACCCTCACACCTGAGAGGATCCTCTGTGAGTAAGCGTGGGCTCAGTCAGATGAGCAGAGGGCACTGTAGGGAAACAGCACAACAAAAACACAAATGCAGGTCCTATTAGTGGGATGCGAGGTCAGAACTGGAATAGAAGTCAAGTCAAAGAGAGCCTCAGGTATCACACCTGGGCATCTGGACATATCCTACACAATCAACAGCAACCTGCGCCCCTCAGTGATCAGTAGAAACTGTTGTTAATTAGGTCCCTGTGTCTGTGCAGTGGAGGCAAGATCACACAGAGAAAACAGTTTCTGTGTCTGTCTCCCTGCTTAGGACTGGTAGGAAGCAAGGCAGTGCATACAAATCCCATGTGCTATGGAGGACGTTGTACCATTCCTAATTATTTTAGGGTAATGTATTTAGTTACACACTAAATTACCACTAATTGAAGTTGGAAGTGGTTCAGAAAGCAATTACATATGACTTGGAATAGAATGGTAGAAGAGGGTATGTTGTTTTCGCAATTGGAACTTGTGTTGAATGATTGCACTGAGCTAAACTGACAATTTTTCCCCCTGAATTCCAGCAAGTTATTCAGTCTCCACTTTGTCCCAAGCCTCATGCTAATGAGAGAAAAGATGCTAAGGCAAGTATATTTCCTTATTTAGATTTGCTGTTGTATTAGGAACTTAGACTTAAATAAAAGATAATCATAGTGGGGAGCCTACAAATTCAAAGTCCTGTATCATCAATCATCTATTTTGCTTCTTTCCACATCTTGTTTGTGGAAATACTACGGAAGGACTCAGAAGTTTGTACAAAGAGAAAATTGAGAGATGATTATTAGAAGGAATTTGCTTTGTTGATTTTATGTGTATCTTGTGTATAAAAAAGAGAAATATACTAATTTTCTTTGTTTCCAATCACACATCTTATAATTTGCAGCAGATATGTTTAACTTAATTAGTTTGAAAGGTAGAGTGACAGAGTCAGGGGAGGGGTGGAGAGAGGGGGAGAGAGAGAATGAGAGTGAGAATGAGAATATTCTTTCCACTGGTTCACTCCCTAAATGGCCACAACACCCAGGGCTGGGCCAGACGGAAGCCAAGAGTCAGGAGCTCCCTCAAGGTCTCCCACGGGGATGCAAGAACCCAAGGACTTGGGGCATCATCTGCAGCAGGTGTTTTTAAATTTCTATTTACGGCCGTTGCCACGGCTCACTAGGCTAATCCTCCACCTTGCGGCACCGGCACACCAGGTTCTAGTCCCGGTCGGGGCGCCAGATTCTGTCCCGGTTGCCCCTCTTCCAGGCCAGCTCTCTGCTGTGGCCAGGGAGTGCAGTGGAGGGTGGCCCAAGTCCTTGGGCCCTGCACCCCATGGGAGACCAGGAGAAGCACCTGGCTCCTGCCATCGGATCAGCGCGGTGCGCCGGCCGCAGGGCGCCGGCCACGGCGGCCATTGGAGGGTGAACCAACGGCAAAGGAAGACCTTTCTCTCTGTCTCTCTCTCTTTCACTGTCCACTCTGCCTGTCAAAAAAAAAATTTTCTATTTACAGCTGGGACACAGTCTGAAACCACAGAACAGCATGGCGCATACTATCCAACCCCTTAATTCTAGTTCTCCTGGCTACTAAGACCTGAAATAAAAAATTTAAGTGACTTGTGGAGTTTTCTTGCATTCATGTTATGTTTTATAATATAAAAGTTAGCAAGTCAGACCATTTCCTGACTTTATTGTTGGCCTAATTGGTTATTTTTAAATTCAGTTTTAAGATTTTTTTTTTTTTTTGCAGCAGAGTCGCCTAAGTCATTAAAAACAAAACAAAACAAAAAAAGGCCATGGTATGTAGAAATCTGCTTATTCAGCTTCATATCTTCTAGATTTGGATAAATTAATTTTTAGTTAATTTGTTGCCTGTTAAGACTACGACTTAAAACCCCAGTCATTTATTTTCACAGAGATTTCTTGAGGGCTTGGCTGGAAGCAGAGGACTAATTCGGTTACTTCAGGTCTCCAGTGTATAATGACAATTTGGAAACTCAGGGGAAGGTTTTCTCCCTCTCCTGTGGGAGACTTTCTGAAAGGAAAAGAAGTAAGAATTAAAACTCCAAGGAAATGACTGCATCTGAGGAGAATGACAATTGGACTTCAAGAGAAGATGTTTCCAGAAAAGCCAGCCGCTCTGAGGTCCATGGAGGAGGCAGATCATTGACATTCAAGAGCTCCCAGATCAGCTTTTAAAAATTAAAGTATTTCATCCAACAGTTACAAAATACTTATTATGTTCTACACAGAAGGGAATATGCCTATTTTTTGAAGACTATTGAGTCTACTGAGAGACACCGAAAAAAAAGGTCTTAAACTTCTGTGTTAAGTTTTTTAATGAAATGTGTACATAATATCATGGGATCAAAGTAGAGTGTACCAGGATGCTGACAGGAGGCTTTCAGACAGAGATGACAAGTTGAGCTAAATCTCAAAAGACAACAAAAGGGGCCGGCACTGTGGTATAGCAGGTAAAGATGCCGCCTGCGATACTGGCATCCCATGTGGGCACCAGTTTGAGTCTCAGCTGCTCTACTTCTGATCCAGCTCTCCGCTATGGCCTGGGAAAGCAGTAGAAGATGCCCCAAGTCCTTGGGCCCCACATGGAAGATCCAGAAGAAGCTCCTGGCTCCTGGTTCCTGGCTTCAGTTTGGTGCAGCTCTGGCTGTTGCGGCCAGTTAGGGGGTGAACCAGCAGATAGAAGACCTCTCTCCTCTCTCTTGTTCTCTCTCTTTCTCTCTCTCTCTCTCTCTCTCTCTCTCTCTCTCTCTCTTTCTCTCTCTGTGTAACTCTGACTTTGAAATAAATACATAAATCTTAAAAAAAAAAAAGACAAGAAAAGCTCCCAAAGAGGAGGGAGAAAAGACTGCTCTCTGAAGCCTGGAAAACCAGTGCAAGAGCCAGGAAGCAAGGAAAGAATCTCCCATGGAAGAACCTGGATGTTCAAGACTTCTGGAAGGCCAGGGGAGACAGAGCAAGCCATGTTGTTCAGGCTGGAGAGCAACCCTGATATCGTCATATGCTACCCAGTGACATCTGCCCACTATGGGCAGCACAGATGACAGTGGCCCCATAAGATTATAACGGGGCTGAAAAAGTCCTATCACTTAGCAACATCATATCTGCCAGAAAGTCATAGCATAACACATTTCTCACAGTAGGTTTGCTTGCAGTGATGCTAGGGCAAGCAAACCTACTGTGTTCTCAGTCATATGAAAGTTCAGCATGTACAATTATGTACAGTCCACAACATAATTGATAATGAGAACAAACGCCTGTGTTGCTGACTATCTATTATGCTTTTTAAAAAGATTGATTTATTTGAAAGGGATAGTGACAGAAAAGGAGAGACACAGAAAGAGATCTTTCATCTGTCGGTTCACTTCCCAAATGGCCAAAATGGCCCAAGCGGTGTCAGGCCAAAGTCAGGAACCCAGAACTCCATCCAGTTCTCCCAAGTGGGTGGCAGGAGCCCAGGTACTTGTGCCTTCCTCTGCTACCTACCCAGGTGCATTAGTAGGGAGCCGGATTGGAAGCAGAGCAGGTGGGACTGGAATCAGCTCTCCAAATGAGATACAGGCATTGCAACCTGAGGCTTAACCCACTGCACCACAACACCAGCCCCATATTATTTACTATACTTTCTGTTGTTGTTTTAGAATGTACTCCTTCTACTTATAAAAAAAGTTTACTGTGAACTTTATGCTCTATTCTCATGTTTATGATTTCTCTTGATTGTTTCGAGATGCCACATGGAGCAATTGATCTACACCACTTAGATTTGTGTAAATTCACTGTAGGATGTTCATACAAGGATGAAATAACCTAACTATGCATCTCAGAACATGTTTTTATCATTAAATGATGCACAATCATGTAAATGGCATGCTAAGAAATTTAAACATCATTCTGCAG